CAAACGCCTTAATACGAAACTGTGTGACGAACCGATCGACGTCTTTGGCAAACACGGCTTGAGTTGAATTAATTTCCGTTACTTTCAACTCATTCATTGTCACGAAGTTTTCGCACACTCAATCAATCAATCATCAATCACTCACTCATTGAGTTACTCAAGTAATCATTCTAATAACCTAGATGAATTTTCAATCTACGAAAACGACAACCTCTGTGTTATGGGTAAAATCCGGTCGCCCGGTGATGACGTACTGATCGCTCAAACCGAGATCCACTCCATCGACAAATCACTATCAGAGGCCGAGTATACACTGGACAGGGATGACATCTATAAGGAACTCCGGATCCTAGGCCTGGACTACGGCCCGGAGTTTCGACGCCTACGCAAAGTCGGCACAAATAATTTTCGCGACATTTACGGCCTCAACGAGTGGACCGGAAATTTTGTCACATTCATGGACGCCATGTTGCACTCCATGATACTACCGGTGCCCTATCGCAAGCTGATGGTGCCCGTTATTATACGCACTGTACGAATTGACCCTCGTGTACTATTTGACGCTATTAAGCGGAACAGGGTCGCTGAAAATAAACCTAATAATGAACCTAGTAACAGTCCTGAGCTTGGTGATTTTGAGAGAGATAACCCTACACATTTGGTCAACTTCGAAACTGAGGACAGTAAGGAGAGTGCGGGTTTAATAAATGCAATTAGCGAGGGCATTCGAAAGCATAATGAACGATTTGCTCTGTACCATGCTCCATTACCATTTTATTTCGATACCGTATGTCGGCGTTTGGTGGCCCCGGGCTTGGAGGTGGACGACGTACGTACGGCGCCGATTGGCAGGCGCTCAGATACAGCAGATTTAACGCTTGACTCGTACGAGTTTCTCCCTAATGATGATATGAAGGCCATTGACGAGGGTACTTTTAAACAATTAACGGATTACCTTGAGGTTGGTTATATTAACACCATACAATTAACAATGATAAACTGTAATATACTATTACAATAAAAACACTTGAAAAATATTGTCTAGTTATATAAAATAATTTGCGATTGAACTATTAAAATGATCATGATTATATTGTTTAATTTCGTAGGTTTGCAAATACACGGCGTACCGAGTGTTGATATTGGTTGGCAAACAAATTGACAACAATTTTAATTGCGACAAAATCGACGAAAACGTGTTACAAGAGTACAGAAACGCGAATAACGAAAATCACGTATTGTTTCGAGCGTTGGACAAAATTCGCGGCGAAATCGTCGACCGGAAACGGAATAACAATAACAACAACATTGATATAAACCAAACAATAGATACGATACGCGATGCCTACGGAAACCAATTGACTCGCGATCTCGTGAACCAGTGCTCCAGAAACGAGCGACTGATCCGATCGCTTGTGGACATAGTGTGCGAAAACTTCGTGACAATGAATGAGTTGAAAGTAACGGAAATTAATTCAACTCAAGCCGTGTTTGCCAAAGACGTCGATCGGTTCGTCACACAGTTTCGTATTAAGGCGTTTGACGTCGACTATAATCTGATAGTTAAGTCCAAACAGGATGCACCCGAACAGTTCAGGGAAAGTGCTGTGGAATGGGATGTAAATAATGGCGTACCTCTAAAACAGGCTCATTTAATTATCATGAGAGATACACCGAACTTATGGCACATAAACTTAGGAAACTTTGTTCAAGATATGTATGACACGATCGAAGCGAACGGATTCCTACTAATGGTATTCCGGTATATGTTTACGGAACCGGAAGTCATCATTAATACCCTATTCAACCAAAAGCCTCTAAATAATAACGATTTAGATTTACGGCAACAAAAGTTTGCATCCGTTTTACAAAACACTGGTTTCCGCAAAATCGCCACCAAATGCGATACTATAGGAACGGTAGCCGTTTTATACCGGAAACCAGACGCAAAACAATCGGAAATTCCTGACAACAAGAATATCGTATATATTACTGAAGGCTCGTACGAGCAATGGTTTGAGATATTGCGGGATAAGGTAATCGCCGCCAAAGAGCCGGATAATAATTGCCATAACGTATGGATTATAGCAAACGACTCGTCCATTAATGGTATCATAGGTTTGACTAATTGTTTGCGTTTAGAGCCGGGAGGCGAGGGGTTGCGATATATTTTCCACTACGACACGAACATCGGGGCTAAACTAGACTTCCGTGTCCGTCCGTATAGCGATATATTAGCCAACAATTTGGCAGCTAATGTCATAAAAGGTGGAAAAGTGGGTACTTATCGACACATCAAACTGCCCGCGGATTACGATAAATGCGTGTCAAATGATTACTACTTAAATACGGGACAAACCCGTGATTTGGCGGGTATTCAGTGGTTCGACGCCCGGAATATTCCCATAATTAAGGAATGGTATGATTTGGTGAACAATATGGTGCCCAAGACTAGGGTCGAGATCTACTGCTCGGGCGTATCGTTTTATGACGTTATGCTCGCAACCGGTAATTAGATTTATATTAATTATGTTTTTTAGTAAGGTCTTATTTTTAGTAATTAAGTTTTATGCTTAAGAATTTTACTTTTGAACTAATACTGTATAAATATTAGCATATATACGATGTACATTAATTATTAGCAATATATTCCATAGTAACATGTACAATTAATTTTGTACTATGTAATTAGTTTTTAAATGTGCAATGTAATGTAATTTTTAAACATTAATAATATAATTATATTTATTATTCGTATACTTATAGGTCGATTACCGCCAAAAACGGAGCAAATATACAGCGACTGTTTGCTAGGCTTTGAATACGTGGGCCGTCGGGCGGATACTGGGGAGCGGGTTATGGGCGTCGAAACTGGACGCACGTTCGCCACGTCTATTAACGCCAGCTTTCATAACATGACTATCGTTCCCGAGCACTGGTCTATGGCCGAGGCGGCTACTATCATAAACGCCTATGCCACCCTGTATTACGCCCTTATTCAGCGAGCTAATTTGAAACAAGGTAAATTCTCAGTGAATATAAATCATATTACAATTAAAAATTAAATATATTTACAATTATATAATTAATAGGTGAGAGTATATTAATTCATTCAGCGGCGGGTGGTGTGGGACAGGCTGCTATAAACATGTGTCGACACTACGGGTGCGATATCTACGTAACAGTGGGTACCGTCGAAAAGCGACGGTTCCTCATCAACGAGTACAACCTACCGGAGGCTCGTATACTGAACTCGCGGGACATACTATTCAAACACCAAGTCATGCGCCTAACGGAGGGCCGTGGGGTTGACATTGTCCTCAACTCCTTGGCCGGTGAGAAACTGGATATCAGCTACCAGTGCGTCGCCAAAAGGGGTCGTATCGTCGAGATCGGCAAATACGATATGTTTCACAACCGGCCGGTCGGTATGTACGACCTGTTAAGGGACATACAGCTTATAGGCGTCGCCCTCGATATTGTGCTTATGGAGGACATGGAGTTTTTCGGCCAATTCGCCCAATGGATGCATAATAACTGCGCGAATGGTTGCGTTAAACCCATTAACTACACGCTATTCCCGGCTACCGACGCGGACAAGGCGTTTCGATATATGACTACCGGTAAACACATTGGGAAAGTGGTGATTAACATCAGGGATACAGAGCAGCCATTGATACCGGCGCCCAGTATGACGGTCAGTGTCAAGACGTTTTTCGACCCCAACAAGTCCTACATAATAACCGGCGGACTGGGAGGTCTGGGACTGGAGCTCATCTCGTGGTTGCAATACTACGGCGCCCGCAAGTTTGTGGTCACCTCCCGGGGCGGCCTAAACACAGCGTATCGGAAGTGGATGCACGCGCGCTTTCGACAGGTGTACGAAAGGGTCAAATATTTTCTGTCCGATTGGGTCGTGTCTACGGCCGACGGGCTGACAATAGGCGGCGCCCGACAACTGGTGTCGGAGGCCGAGGGGTTGGCACCCATTGGAGGCGTATTTAATTTGGCGCTCGTGTTGAACGACTCGCTACTGGAGTCACAAACGTGCGCTAAGTTTCGCCAATCGGTGGACACGAAGTACAGGATATGCGCCAATTTGGACGAAATTACTCGTCGACTGGACTATAGAGTGGACTATTTTGTGGTGTTTTCGTCGGTGTCGTGCGGTAAGGGAAACGCCGGCCAATCGAACTACTCGTACGGCAACTCCATGTGCGAGAGGCTGTGCGAAGGGCGCCGTAGGGACGGCCACCACGGGCTGGCCGTACAGTACGGGCCCGTCGACGACGTGGGCGCGTACGCCGACGCCGCCGATCACGCGCTGACTCGCATGACCACAATGAGGGCCCAGAGAGTCCACTCGTGTTTCGATGTTTTGGATAAACTATTGGCTATTAAGCAACCGATTGTCACGTCATATGTAAGTGAGTTATACCAGGGAAACGAGACCCATATTTAAACTCTACTTTAATATGACTGTAATAGGGCTAATGAGTAGTTACAGTCATATTAAAGCCGAGCTTAAATGTGTATTTAAGGTAGCTCAAGTGAAATTCAATTTTTAAAATTTTCAACATGGCGGCTAGTTTAATATACAATATTTTAATTAATGGCAGAAAATTGTTACACAAATAAAACAATCAGGCTCAATCAAAACTCGAATGGTGGCTGAATTATGGCGGGCACTGGGGGTCGACCCGGATTCCACGCCCGACCACATAACCCTGGGTGAAATAGGCCTGGAGTCCATATACGCCGTGGAAGTGCAACAGGAGTTTCAAAAGCAATACAATACTCACGTGACGTTAAATCAAATCAAAAGCATAACGATCGGCATGTTTAAGGAGTACGAATCGGGCAACATTACCAATATCAAAAAGCACCTGGAGGCTATAAAACGAGCACGGTCGGTGTTGTTAAAGCAAAAGTTTATAATGCCAAGTGATAAATATACGCGACTTAACGCGCTCACCACTGGACACCCGGTATACTTTATGCCAACCATTTTGCTAAACTTCTCGCTCATCGAGGAGTTGGCGCTGAAATTAAATCGACCCGCGATTGGACTGAATTGGACCCGCGAGGTGAGCCAATTGACCACGCTCAAAGCGGTTAATAAATATTATCGGAACCTTTTGCGTCACATTGAGCCTACTGCTAATTACGATGTGGTTGGCTACCTGGATTCAATTATATTGTGCACAAAACTATTGCGAAAAGGTGAAATCATCTAGATACACGCAGTATTAATACAAATTATATCTGTCTCATTTTTCTAATTTTCAAACATTAATTTTTAACTCCATAACTTAACAAGTACATTAATACGTAGTTAAATCTAACTTATTTAACTAAATATTAGAATCTAGATTTAAATACTAATTAAGATTAAACTAACTTTAACCTTGATAAATCTTACCGATCGCACCAATAGGAATGGCAAACAGGGCCGTCATATTAGACACGGTAACCAATTGGCGTTTTCTGGAGGAACAGCCCACCGACGCCTCGGCGCTCGAGTTTATGGTGAACCTCATCGGCGACGAGTGGATGCCGGCGGCCATCCGGCACCGAGTCGTCCGACAAATGCGCGCCGAATCGGACGTCTCGGCGAAGATAGGCGTCATTGTGCGCGAGGTAACTGAGGTGACCGGTAGCGCACTGGTAGCCACCGATATGGACGAGATATTCCGGGTGATGTACGCGCGCGTACGCATGCTGTCCGAGTACGGGCGCGCGACTAAGCTGGCTAAACTGAAAATGAGCATGGCCAAGGGCTGGGCAAAAATGAGATCGTCCAAGTTGACTATCATCAAGCCCGTTTTAGGTGATACTACCGGGGAGGGGGTCAATGATAAATCGTTTGTTGATTTATTACTCCCAGAATCTCAGGTTTGTGTGCTTTATATTTATATCGTATAACAAGCTTATTATATGAGCAAGGTTGATATAGTGTATTAATATTTAAAATTATTTGTTCTACCAATACTCATTTGACCTATATGAATAGTGATTGTATTTTATATAGTAAATATAACATAATAGGTTGAATGATAATACTGTATCTGATATACAGTATCTGATATGTTAATATGCGTATTTAATAATTTGATCCAGACACAAAATGACGATATTCGTGTTGAACGTGTTAACAGTAAATCGGGTGCAATATATTCATTGGACAACGAATTAGTGGATAAAATCTTAATGGTTTTGAAATAAATTTCATAAATAATCAACATGCTAATAAAAATATTAATGTTTTTTAAGTTTTACTATAAATAAAGACTACTTTGTATACTATATCTATATATCTATATATCTATATACAATTTCTAATGAATTGAATAACCAAGTTTGTAATAACGAGTATTGTAAAATAGATTATTGAACATTGCAAATAAATTGATAGATACTGTATATAATACAGTTATCATGGACAATTAGTGGATATTTATACTTAAAGACTTAAATTTAATTTTCAAATTCAAACATTTAATTGTTTTATTATCACATCTTATTACATAAACTAAACTTTTTGTGAATTGAAATTCAGTTCACAATTACTCGCAGAGATGACACTCGCGCTGTGTTTACATTGCGTTCACTGTCTGTCACACGAAGTGCTAAACAGCTGTTCATTGTATCGCGAGTTTAGCATTTGATTCATGATTGACATAGTGATTAAGTGACCTGGCTATTATTATCTATATTCATATATATAACATCAACTCATTGCGTTCATAACAATTGTTCACTCAATTCATTGACTCCATTGTGAGCACCGGTAGCACTGGATATACCCCACTATTCAACAGTAAGTGATTCACTCGTGGGTTCAGAAATGTCTGCAAAATAGTAATTGTTTTCACATTAAATGTTCAGTTGTTTTGGTGTCCATACAGTCAGCCATTGATAGCAAAGTATTGTCTCATAAGTGGTGAGAGGAATGACCGCAAGAAGTAGTCATACAATGAATGCACAGAAAGTCTATCCGAAAGACTCTTTGGACCGATTGGGCGATGATTTGTGTGAAGTCCTGTTGAGTTACCTATCATTTGAGGATCGATTCAGATATGAATGTGTGTCCAAACAGTGGCAGCGATTGATATACACGACAGTCACTGACCTTAAGATCTCTAAGGCTATGGTTAATAAGCGGAAGCCTATGGACACTAACAGACATTTACAGGCATTTGAATCTCTGCTGAAAAAGTGCGCAAACATTGTGTTCATTGACTGCAATTACGGTTACGCTATGAGTGACAGTATGTTATCGTTAATCACTAAACACTGCAACCATTTGAATGGCATTTATATGTCGGTCGAGGAAAACACCACTAATGAGACGATTAACGAGTTTTTCACGAAGTTTGCCAAACAATTGCAATCATTGGTATTGTTTTACAATAGTCCCACTGTCGAGGGGTATATACTTAACAATATGAAGTGCTGTCGAAATCTACGGGTACTGTATCTCCTATCTGAAGGCAATCAGTTGTTTCACATGTTGAGTAGCGATAGAAATGTGGTTTTGTTTCATAGGTTACACACTTTACTCGTGTATTATAATAATGATAATCACAACACATTTGTCCAGTTTGTGGACACATATAAGCATAGCTTGAAATCAATTCACGTGTATATCGACGGCCACTGGGAGGACAAGCCTATCGTTGCCGTAATGACTGGTTTGTCGCAAATGCGGGCATTAATTGACCTGAAGATTGAATACCCGGACTATGAATACACGGATGTAGTGAACGACCACTTGAGACAAATCGGTGAGAATTGTCCCCAAATCCGGAGACTATCCCTCAAAATATGTCTCCTAAGGAACAGCCCGTGCGACGAGTTGTTTGCAATACTCAACGATAGCTTCAAACGATTAAAACGACTCGAAATCGACAGCAATTTCATTGAAGAGCTTCGCAATCCACCCGCGAATCCATACAAACGTATCACTCATTTAAAGCTCAAATCATTATATGACGACTGGATTAACGACGACGACTTCATAGCCACAGTGAACACAATATTCGCGAGTATTGTCTCATTGAATGTCAAGAAGATTAAGGTAACGGATGGTGTGTTGCGGTCATTGGCGAGACTCACAAAACTGCGACTCATCAGGCTCAAACACTGCAATTTCAAGTTCACGCAACACGCACTCAATGAGTTACGATTACATAATCCGAATACTATTATTAAAATTACCAAATGTACAAGGTTCGAGTAGCATAGCTTTGATGAATGACATGATTTACTCGTAATGTTTATATTCTTGATGACATATCTGTCGTAAACTATCAGATTTCGAAAAAAGTTTTGTCCATCAGATTTGACTACTAAAATGCGGGTTATTGCTAAACTATTTAAGTTATCAAATTTATATTTAAACAAAACACTGTATTCTTACTATTATTATGTATTCAATAATATTTTTCTAATTGTGTTTCGACTGTAATTCGTAAATGATTTCAATTTCGAGGGCTTTTACGGTATTATTACTTCCGATATATTCTCGAGTCGAGAGTCCAGTGCCGCGCATAACACTCCCCACCCTTTCGCCCATCAAATCGCTCCCACATTTGGACAGTTGTGAGCGCCTGTCGCCCACAAACACGCCTTTCCTCATCTCATCGGACATTTCGTTTAATATTATATATTTGAATACAACATTTATAAACTATAAGACTTTGGGTACAGCGTTGGTTACTAAAACATTTTTTCGCAACAATACTAAATGTTTGTATAGGATTACAAACGCAATACCATAAGTTAAAAAGTTTTCAATTACTAAGTTATAATAAACTGTTTATTATAAACATATATTTTATTCATACAAAACATAAAAATATACAGTCATTTGCCATGCTTAATTTAGTATAATATTTGCGAAAATTTAATTAAATCTCAATATTATTTATTTCTCACACATTTCGATGAGAACACCAAAAGTAATAATAATAAACATTTTCACCACATCTACAGCTATAAAACCAAACACACACTCCAACACTCAGATCA